TTCCACAGTTCAAATCACCCTCAGCACCACTGTCTTTCATGTTCCTGCTAGGATGGCCCAGTAAGCCCCTCATAAAGCATTTTCTGATCCAAAGACTCAGTGTCCACATTCCTCTAAACAAAAGCATGCTCAGGCCTATCACAGCAACACCACAGTCCCTGGTGCCAACTTCTGTCATAATTAGGGTTCTATTGCTGTGAAGAAACACTACAGTAATTCTTATAAAGGACAACACTTAATTGGGGCTGGTTAATAGTTCAGAGGGTTAGTCCATTATCATCCTGTCAGGAAGCATGGCAGCCTGCAGGCAGACAGAGAAGGAGCTGAGAGTTCTACATTTTCATCTGCAGGCAGCAGGAACGAACTGTGAGCCACTGGGCCTGGGCTTAAGCATCTGATACCTCAAAGCTCACCCCTGCAGTGAGACACTTCCTCCAACAAGACCACACCTCATGATAGTGCCACTCCCTACAAGCCAAGCATCCAAACACATAAGTCTATGGGAGCCTTCACTTCAAGACTCTGCTATATTTCAAGCCTACAAGCCAGTTCCTGCCTGAACAGAGTGGAACGGTGTCTTGGGGCAATGCCTCCATCTCAGCACCGAGAGGTTTGTGGTATCTATAGACTCGGAGAACAGCATAAGACACATTTCCAGCTCTGGAAAAGGAAGGCAAACAAAGAAGACTCAGTCTTCTGCTGATTTTCCTGTCTTCTGAGATTTGACAAAGGGAAAAAGTGTCTTCTGTCTTCTCCTTTCCTTCTGGACCCACAGAGAGCCTGTTTCTCAACTTCTTGCAGAGATGTCTGAATGTTGTCTCAGGTGCCCTTCAGAATAATCCACTCACTCCCGCTACCTCATCCCACAGTCACCTCGGAGGACACCCGCAGAAATGTCCAGAAGCATCAGCACTGGCTTCAAGTGACAGTCATCACATGTCTGAGGCTAAGACCCAGCTGTCTTCCTGGAATGGCGTGGATGGAGCCTAGTCTAGCCTGGGCAGCACAAGCCAAAGGGTGCTCTTTTGGTCCTGCCCTACAAAGCTGACACCTGCTCCTGCTCTTCAAAGCTGTCACCTGTAACAGTTCTAGACCACTGTGAGTTCTCCCTGCCAAGGTAAAAGCATCCAGTCAGGTTTCTGTCGCTTTAAATCATGCAAATAGTTAGAAGAAGATAAGGCTGAGAAACGGAAAATTACAGGAGAATAGGTTCATTCATCTTCATGTGTCTTATCCACTCCATTGTGGTCAAAAGCAGGTGTTCCAAGCTATGAATGAGTGGTTTGCATTTTCAAAAAATTAACAAATTGGATCAACACGAAGAGAAACAAACAACCAACAAGCATAGTCAGCCCAGAAGAGAGCTGTTTATAAAGCAGCAGCCGTTCCCAGAGTGGTTTGCGACCAGCAGCAGACTAGGCTGTGTGAGTTCCCTGTTTAGTCATCGTTCTTCAGCCAGTCACGGATACTAAAGGGAAATGCAGAGACAGGAAATTACAGGCTATTTTAAACAGCATGTTTTATTAAACTCACTTGCTGATGCACTTCATGGCAGGATGCTAGACTCAAGTGCTCAGAACTTAATCTTTGCAAGTACTTTTCCTAAGTGAGTTCTCCCACTAATACACAACACCTCAGGTCATGAAGCATCACTTCAAACGGAGAGTTTTGTAATGTGACAAAAATACACCTTGCTCACAGGATGCAACTGTAACTCCCAGAAAGCAACAGCTGGCTTTGTAAGATTGTGAGATCACGAATGCATTTGTTGTAAACCACAGAATCAGATCGCAGCAATGGGGCTGGGGAAGGGGGAAAGGTTCACCACACAGGCATGAGGGCCTACCCAGCTCCCATGTCAAGAACCAGGTATGGCGGTGTGTACCTGCAGCACCAGTGCTGGAAGGCTGGGAGACAGTGCAGATGAGAGGATCCCAGGGCTTGCTGGTCAGCCAGTTGAGCTGAAATGGAAAGCTCCAGGTTCAGAGGGATGCCATTCAAAAATCAGAGGATCTATGGTGACTGTTTGTCAGCAATGTGCTTACTGTACAAGCATTAAGGCCCGAGCTCTGTCTTTAGTGCCCAGGTAACAGCCAGGCATGGCAACTGATGACTGTAACCCCACCACTGAGGAGGCGGAGACAGGGGGAGCTCACTGGCCAGTCAGGCCAACCAGTGAGCTCAAGTTCAGTGAAGACCCTCCCTCAAAAAATAAAATGGAGAGTGATTGGGGAAAGATGATCTTAGGTGGTCTGTAGATTGCCTGTGTATCTGAGCAGCTGCAGACACATGGAGAGAGAGAGAGAGAGAGAGAGAGAGAGAGAGAGAGAGAG